TCTCCGAGTCCTTCTCGTCTTGTATTATCTTGGTGCATCGTGCGACCTGGAGGGGCTGCTCTTCTTGCATTCGTTGGCGGTCGGCGGCGATATCCCAGAGATGTGGAGGTGCGAGTCCGGTATCTGATTCCTGAGGGCGTTAGTCGAGCATGGGTGGAGGGTGAAGGAGTCTGTACTTTGACGCCAATCTTCTCGTTTATCGTCTGCTGCTTGTCCTTGATCTCCTTCTCAAGCTTCTTGAGTTCGGCGCCATAGGGTGCCGCGCCGTATGTTTTCAACACCTGGATGTCCCTGTGATATCATTAGCCCAGGTCCGCTCTGACCGTGACGTGCCATCTCTTACTCATCCGTCAGAGGTGTGATCTTCTTCTCCTCGACCTCGTCGTCGGCGAAGTTCTTCTGGTACTTCTCCCAGGACTGGCCTGTGGCTGAAGGCATGCTTGCGGAGTGGGCGGCGACTGTCGTGTGGCCGAGATGGGGTTTGGGCTATGCGTGCAGTCGAGTTGTGGATGAGTCCGGTTAGGAGCGACAGTGGGAGCAGATGCGGCGGCGCGGCGAGTGTATGGGGTTGGTTGTTGTGGACTGGGTGAAGGTGTAGCTGTGATGCGGCAATGGCCCGGCGAGTCGGAGCTTGGGGATTGGCCGTGCGCTACGTCTATCGCGTTCTCGAAATATTGTCAGTTCGCGTCCAGGCACCACAACTTCCCCGCCAAACTCCCACGATACCCCTCTTTTAGCTTTGTTCTCCTGTATACTGAAAGATGGCTGCTCAAGTTGCAAATGGCGGTACCGGTGGCGGCAACACTGCCTTCAAGGTGCGCTTCATCACTAAGCTCTGAAAACATTGACTGACATTGCCCCAGGACAAGGAGAAGCCCAGAGCTGTTCGCAGCGCCAACATCATTGCCGCAAGAGGTACAGAACCTATTTATTCTCATTTGGAAGCATCTCGCTAACTCGAAATGTGCAGCTGTGGCAGATGCGATCCGAACTGTATGTCCCACCACGAGGTGCGGGGAAGAGATGAATACTAACTTTTTGGCAGTCTTTGGGACCAAAGGGCATGGACAAGATGGTACGACACAGGCGCAAACTCTCAGCCATCAAAACTGACCCGTCCAGATCCAAACCAGCAAAGGCCAGACCATCATCACGAACGACGGAGCCACCATGTTGAACCAGATGAGCGTTATGCACCCCTCCGCGAAGATGCTCGTCGACCTCGCACACGCCCAAGATATCGAAGCTGGAGATGGCACAACCTCGGTCGTAGTCATTGCTGGAAGTCTGTTGGGCGCAGCTGAGAGGTTATTGGGTAAGGGCATCCACCCCACAGTCATATCAGAGGCTTTCCAACGGGCAGCGCAGGAGGCGATATCCATATTGACCGAGATGGCCATCCCCATCTCGCTCACGGACAGGCAAACGCTCCTCAAGACCGCCACGACCGCACTCTCTTCTAAGATCGTCGCTCAGGAGCCCAAGCTACCCATTATGGCTGTGGATTCAGTCCTCAAGGTCATCGACCCCAAGACCGCCGACAACGTAGACCTGAAGAACATCCGGATGATCAAGAAGTCAGGCGGTACCATCGAAGACAGCGAGATGATCGACGGACTGGTTCTCAACCAGCCTGTAGTCAAGAGCGCTGGTGGTCCCACATTGAAGGAGAAGGCACGGATAGGTCTCATCCAGTTCCAGTTGAGCCCACCGAAACCGGACATGGAGAACCAGATTGTCGTCAACGACTACAGGCAAATGGACAAGATCCTCAAGGAGGAGCGAACATATCTGCTGAACATGGTCAAGAAGATCCAGAAAGCCAAGTGCAACGTTCTCTTCATCCAAAAGTCTATCCTCCGAGATGCAGTCAACGACCTCAGTCTGCACTTCTTGTCTAAGCTGAAGATCCTGGTCATCAAGGACATTGAGCGCGACGAGATTGAGTTCATTTGCAAGGTGCGTATGAGAAGTGATTCACATGTAACGAAGCTAATGCACAGTAGAGCACTGGCTGCAAGCCTATTGCCGATATCGACTCATTCACAGAAGACAAGCTCGGTTCGGCAGACCTTGTCGAGGAGGTACAGGCATCAGGTGCACGATACGTCAAGGTTTCGGGCGTCAAGTCAGCAGCCAACACTGTCTCCATCGTCTGCCGCGGTGCTAACAACCTTATTCTGGATGAGACCGAGCGATCTCTACACGACGCTCACTGCGCCATCCGCTCGTTGGTCAAGAAGAAGGCGCTACTTGCTGGTGGCGGTGCCCCGGAGATTGAGATTGCGCATCAGCTGTCACTCAAAGCTCGTGAGCTCTCTGGCACTGAGTCCATTTGCTGGAAAGCTTTCGCCGATGCCATGGAGGTCATTCCGACAACACTGGCGGAAAACGCCGGTTTGAACAGCATCAAGGTTGTCACAGAGCTAAGGCATAGGCACGCACAGGAGCAGAAGAATGCTGGTATCAGCATCAAGAGTGGGGGTGTCAAGAACGACATCAGCGAGGAGAACGTACTGCAGCCACTGCTGGTCAGCACCAGCGCTATCGAGCTTGCAGCCGAGACCGTCAAGATGATTCTGCGAATCGACGACATCGCCTTGTCGAGGTAAAGAACTGCAAATGGATTGACTTGGCAGCAAAAGACGCAGGATACCACGAGTAATGAAAAATTCGAACAACTGTTGATGCCAAATAAGTGTTTGGAATGTCATGACATTGCATGTGAAGGTTACGCGTATATTGCGTTGAATGCATGAACGGTGCAATTAAAACCTGCACGTGGGGGAGCATGGGACTGCAGTAGCGGGACACGTCGTTCTCTGCAGACTGTCGAGAAAGGATAAGCCGTGGATCACTTTTCTTCTTCCAGATGCCGAATTCGGACCACTTTGATCCTGGGGTATGCACCTGAAATGAGCAATGTTTTCAACTTGACTCGTTTTTGGTAAATGGAGAAATGCGAATGCGACTATCCGCGCGCGTGACGAAGCAATTGCTTTTCGGGCTGATCTTTCGCCCGCATAGGTTATCCGGCCGTCAGCATGTAGACGCAGTGTTTCCGTGCCGTGTTCATGAGTAGTGTATGTGTGTGATGCCTCACCACGATAACGCGAGCACCCTGGCCTAACGACTTTGTCGTGCACCTAACATTGCAGAATATCACAACATGAAAAACCGTTTCAATGCAAGCAGACGATCGTTTTTGTAATCTTGCTGTAGCCGCTTATCACCCGGCCAAGATGTAAGTCCTGACCTCGGGAACGCCGACGGACATCGTGTTTGCAGCAACATCACTTTTTAGCTGCGGCCACGGAACTCATACACAGGTATGCTGACTAGAAAGACATCCATCATCAGCACCTTCAATAAATCTTAAATACGACTCCGGCTACACTACGCGCGTGTGATAAACAAAGGCGCAAAAAAAGTAAAGAACCCCCGGAAGAAACCACCTCCCAGCCGCCGTATGCAATCTAACGGCATTCTTCTCACTTTCGCATCACCGGACAATGACATGCATATGCCGTACCTTTTTCCCTAACTTTCTTTTCCCGTCGATCAGCCAACGCCACAACAACGACCTGCAGTGCCACACGAGCAAAACTCAGCGTACAATGTAAACAACATCGTCACCTCACGCAAATGCGTCACCGACCCAAGAAAAACCACTCAGTCGATCCAGGCCCCCGCCACACACATGACCCGAATGACTGTACGCGCGCGCTATCCGCTGCGAACGCAAGATCGAGCCCTGTGAGAGTGAAGAAAAATCTAGCGCAAGCTGAAACGTAGCGTACCGTGAAGATTGGAGCAGTTCGGTTCGGCATCTAGTGGGTTAGTGTACCAGGAACCGCGTATAGGTAAGTCAGACTTGTTCGGCAAGGGAACCCATTAGGAATCTAGAGCCGGTGGGCAGGTGGAGCTTCACCGGAATGCGGTGGTGGAGTTGGGGGAGCTGGTGGAGGATAAGAGTGAGTGGGTGTTTCATGTTGCAGTGGCTGATGGGATGTTCGTTGTATCTTTTGCGGAAAGTGTAGTGGGCACGTCATTGTTGACTGCAAGTGGAGGGTTGGAGGAGTGAAGAGGGAAGATGGAGATGATGGTTGGTGCAATATGTTGTGCGATATGTTGATGCGTTGGATCGACCAATGCTTTCACATATACTCAACCTCAACCTAGCTGCCCAATAAACCTCTTTCTCATGCATCTTACCTCGCCACCGAAACACATCCTCCCAGCACCACGAAACGCATACAACGCCCAGTATCAACTACTGCATGCAAACTGTACGAGTACTGTAATGTAGATCTTTGCCTAGCCACTGGATGAAAACGGCAACGTCATACAGCCATCCCTGCCCTTAACATCTATGCGATATAGATCTCTCCGCTGCGGATAATATGGTTAGTGTGGTTCTTTGGCGAAACATGTGGAGAGATAAGACGGGTAGTGTGAACGGGTAGGTAAAGCTCCGGTAGAGAGTACGAGGACCTAGTCATGATCGCTGGGGGCGATCACTCCTTCGGCAAAAGTCAGGTGCTGTGAGTTGAGACGCTGGACTGTATCGGCAATTGCGATGAGTAACCGTTGTTGCCTGATGTAATAGGAAATACGCGGAAACAATGCTATCGACAAGGATGAGGCGAAGGTGGTGGTATCAAAGCGACAGACCAGTTTTGGTTGCTGCCGACTGGGTATCATTCTCGATGAAGTTCTTGGCTAGCTAAGTATGAAGAAATACCAGCAGGGTAGCTGGACATGGGAGATGAAAGGAAAACGCCTCATTCATGCATCTGAATCGTTCGGTTCGTGCATCGTGATAATCGTACAGTCTGATGAGCTTTCGTAACCCCCCGTAAATGTCTAGAAAATGGTTGGACAAGGAAATAAAAGTCGCTCGCTGAAACGCAGCAGACCTGTTGTTGGTCTTTATTAAGAAAGACAGGCAAAAAGTACAATGTGAGAAGTGAATTAATAGATGCTGGCTGAAATGGGGATCAGCGAGTGGTGGCCTTGAGGCTGGCACGCTTCAGTAGGCGGCTCACGAGGTTTCCGCGCGGTTTAGGCTTGACGTAGAAGGCGCCCTTGGTACCGGTCATGTCGTCGGTGAAGACAAGGTCTTCCAGTGCCAGAGGATCGTCTTTCGAGGTTTTGGGACTTGAGCTTGAGCCTGAGCCTTGCCAGCCATACAGTTGATCTTCGTCAGCTCGTAAATCGGGCCGGGTCAAGGTCATACGGAGCGTCATCTCGCGATTAAAATGCCCATTGGCGGAGTGGACAGGCGACGGAGCCGGCGAATCGACCGAGAACTTGCGGTGCGAGATTTGTCGGGAGTGCATGCGGAAAGACAGGCCGGTGCTAGAGGGCGTGGCAGGTGAGTCCATGTCGGCTACAGAGCCGGCATCAGATTCCAGTCCCTGGTTCTCCTTTGGATGGTCTTCGAAGAACGACAGCTGTCCATCCCTAAGGAAGGTGTGCATGTCTCGGCTGAACTTGCGAGCATGATTGTCGATCTGTGGCAGCTGGAAGTGGGGTGTAGCGGCGTCGCTTCCAGCGGACGATGGGAAGCCGAATTCAATCGCTTCGTCGAACTTTTGAGGAGATGCAAGATACATGCGCAGCTTTTTCCTCGCCTCGGGATCCTGGTAGTGTGTCGCTTCGGGGTCGATCATGAGAGTTGGCGGCGTAGACGGCGATATGTGGCCTGTAAGAGAAGAAGAGTGGGCACGCTGGTGAAGTCGATTCGGCCGAGCATTGAAGAGTGGAGGATCCGCCATGTATGAAGATCCAAGGCGGACAGGGTGCGACGTGAGGGACATGGTTCGTCTCATGTCTGCCGTTGAGGTTTCCCTCCGATGGAAGATGGGCGTGGCCATTGTGTCGAGATATAGCAAATGGGTGTTTCGGTCCTTGTCCGTGTTTGATGTACAAGAAGGCCCGAAAGTAGGGCGGGAAGGGCTGACGGTCGAAGAGGCCGAAGATGAACGACGTCGTGAACGGCCGCGTTCCGGAAGGTCGAGCGTGGAGTGGGAGAAGTCGAAGTGAAAATCGTTGAAGCGTTGTTGTGCCCACTCGGGATCCTGGTCGTCGGGAAGGAACGCCTGTTCGTGCCTGCCTTGGAGGAGGGCCTGCTCTTCGCGGGAAAAATGCTGCTTGCGTACCTTTTCAGGCAAGGAGAGAAAGAAGTCAAGGTCAATGTGGGAAATGTCGTGAGCGTGCACAGCCTTTTCGGATTTGCGTCTGCGTCGTCCGGTGCCGAGAGATAGCGAGGGCCGGTGGGATTTGGAAGCGGTGCTGGCCTGGGACGAGCGGCCTGATGTAGTAGGCTCGTCGGAGGCGTGCTGGGCGATCTGCAAACGCTCCAGGGATGAAAAGTACTTTCTCCTGTAGCGGGACGAATTAGCATTGGCATCATGGCATAATTGACAGGCCCTTCATCTACTGCAAGGTACACAAAAAGTCATGGTGGGGGATTCGGTATATGCACGCGCATAACGCGCCCTTATCACACGTGCCGACCACTCAGGAGCGCGGAATATTACTTACTGGACTGAATACGGCAGGGCGTCGAATTCGGCCTGCCGCAGAGGCAGAATAGTCCCTTTGGCTTTGCTCTTCATGGCTTCGGCTCGGATCTCGACGTCGGCGATGGCGCAACGTTTGGCTTCAGGCACATGGGGGCGTGGTTTGCGCGGACGACGCTGCGAATGGCGGCCCTGACGCCGTGGCCGGGCGGTGCGGCGGGCACTTGGTCGTGAACGTTTGGTTGAGCAATGCTGGTGTACTTTGTTCTCGAGGATCGACCGGAGGGCTATCCGAACAGCAGCAAGCGAAAGTCCGAAGAAGAAGGAATTATATGAGGTCCAACAGGACGGCCGCTGGGGGATAGAAACAATCAGTGGGCTCAGCAGCGTACGACTGTCGCTCGCACTTGGGGCGGCTGCATATTCGTGTCGCGGGATGCTGCAGCTGCAGGCTAACGCGCCGCCAGCGACGCACTCTCTGCTCTCCACCTCACACCTGGGCCCTAGTAGAACCGTGGCTGATGTATCCGAGAGCACGCCAGGCCCGCGTGCGGTCGTTGGTTGAGTCAGGTAGTGCAGACAGGCCTCCTCCCCGCTTCTCTCCACCTTGCCGTCCGCTGTTTCAGGCCCGTGGCCGCCAGGAACACACCGTCAGCGGAGCCACGATGCTTAGCGTGCGACACACCGCTGGCCAACGTGCCCGGCTCGCGGAGTCGACAGATGCTCTCCATCACATTTGCCTGATTAAGCCTCCGCATCAAATATACTTGCTTCTGGAATATGCGTTATGGCGTTACTACCAGGCCGCCCGACTGGCCGGCTCAATGGCTGCGCCAGCGTGTCACGGGTTAATATCGCACAGATCACCGTCGATTGCCAGACGCCTTGTACAACGTCGAGCATGCGCTGCGTAACGGCGACAGGCTGACAACACGCACGCACGCTCCAAACAATCTGTCTAATTGCAGCATATTGCACAGGTACAAGCAAGGGTATCTCAAGAGAAGCGCATCCAGCTCCCGCGCCAACACAAATGTTACCGCCCCCTGCACAGTTCCTAATATGGTTCCCAGAGAGCGGTACCTGGTTCCCAATTTGAACGTCGACAGACGTCTATTCACAAGACGGCGAACGTCTTCCACCCCGCCGTTGCCTAGTTCCGCATCGAGAAAGATTAGGCTTTCGGAAGCGTAGGCTTAGGCTTCCCAACATCATGCAGCTTGTACGTTGGCGGCCCCATTAATTTCACTATTACCTGCACAAGATCGATGTTTGTTGTCCAGGACTCCTGTCCGTGAACAAGCATTTTCTAGATCTTCAGGCACCCGCAATGTCATCTGCATTAAGGTATCAAGTCAGTACTGAGCCCGTGCCACGGTGTAAAGGAGAAGCACGTACAGTAGTATTCGTCATCCAGTCCTTCACGACTGGGGAGCACTGGTTCCTCCAGCCCGACATCTTCGTAGCGAACGTTGAGCAGACGGATCTTGAGCCCGTAACCGCCGATGAAGGTTACCAACTTATTGGTGTCAGCGGTAATTGGCTGTTGGTTCAGTAGCATCAGCAGTCCATCAAGCCACTCGGAAGCAAGGGTATGGCTCTGGGGATGCAGATGCAGTAGGACGGATTCTTTTCGCCCTGCACCTGAGCCGCTGGACGCCTGCCGCGCGTGATTGGACGGGGGCAGGTAACCGTGGATCGTGATCTTGGTCGACGTCGAAGCCCGCTCGTGGCCTGGCAGGGTTGTGACCGTACTGTCTGACGATGCGGTCGATGGCGCCGAAGCCGAGACATTGCTCACCACCGAAGAGACAATGGATAGATCGACTGTACATGCGGGTCAGCCACTGCGATAACGCAAACCACAAACGACGCGTGGACGCGTTACACTTACTCTTCTCCTGCAGGGTGTCTAACCTCGGCTCAGTCGCCGTCTTCTCGTCAAAGTCAGCGTAATGCAGATATCGCCGGTTGTGCGACAATCGGACAAAACGCCATGATGAGGGCACAGAACGATTCAGGGTCTTGCTGGTTACCGGACCCGCACTCGTGCCGTAGTCGATACCCATTGGAAACCACGCGCCCTGTAGCAGGCATCTTATACGCTGCTCCTTTACAAACTGCAGAGCCTCGTGGTTGAGCTCGTCACGGACCTGACTGTAGAGAGTTAGCTGAGCACAGACCACATCGATGCAAACTGCATACCGGAGATGATGGCCCCATGCATCCTCGTAGGTCAGCTCCAGTACTTCCATTTGAAGTTCTCTCAGGCGTTTCAGCTCAAATTCAGCCAGATCTTCCTCCACGTCCTTGACATCCCTCATGCGTGGCGCCTGGCCCACAACCTGCTCGATCAAGATGCGGATAAGCTCTTCGATCTTCTCAAAGTCCTCGGTTTGTGCGCCGGCTACCTTCCATAGTCGGATGAAGGCACTCAGGCCACTCGTATGTAACCTGGACCAGTGAAGCAGGAGGGGCTTGAACGAGCGGTCGAAGTTAGCCCGCGAGTCGGTAGGTCGGTGGGAGTCCACATCGTCGAGCTTGTCTATTTCAAAATGTTCGTATAGAGTCTGGGTGACCGACAGACTTGCGCGAGCGATTGGGCATCGCTGCTCGAGTGGCTCTGCCGACTGCTCCAGCAAGAGCTTCTGAAACCCGTCTTCGTTCTTGTAGACAAAGTCTGTAATGTCCATGAGGCCTAGGAAGCCAGTCGCATCGAACTCCCACGCGGGTGATTCCGTCTCGAAGCCCAGACGCTTCCATTTATCCGGGTTGTGCTTCTTGCTTCCTTTGGGGTCTGATGCTGACTTTTCTGGATTACTCGCCGTGTGTAGACCCCGGATCGCCCTCCTGTGATCGGGGTTCTCCAGGTCGACCTTCTCTTCCCTCCAGTTCCTGAGCAGTATCTTGGTCAAGGACTGGAAGTCGAGTAGTGGATGTGCCAGATCCTGTATCGCAGAGCTCTGCATAAGCCCGTACACGCTCTTAATCACGCCCAGCTCCTGCAGCTGCTTGATAAACTTGGGCCATTCAAAGGCCGCGTCGTTTGCGATGGCGTCTCGCATGAGCGCGTTGATGAGCTGTAGGGAGTTTGCGCATAGGGCGTGGTCGGCCGAGGTGATCTTTTCGACGAGGGAGGGTAGGAAGTCGGGCTGAGAGTCGACGGCGGGCTTCAAGCGCTGGAAGCCCGTGGTCCCGTCCTGGGAGTTACGGTGTGAGGGGTGGCCGACAATGGCAGCGAGGACCGACATGGCACCGCGGTTGACGTTGACGAGAGGTTGCGCGACAACGAGGTCGACGATCTGGAGCATAATTGTTAGACCTCTTCAGGTAATCCCTCCTTCCAAGAGTCGTCGTCGACTTACCCTCGCGACCAGATCGTCCGTGACATGGTCCCATCCCTTGTCCAACTCCAGCAGGCGTGCCAGAGAGGTCAGACAGTAGGCCAGGGTGTTGCCGGTCGAGTGCAGGGCCAGGAAGCGCAGCTTGGGCAGGCCGCCTTCGTATATGAAGACGTCGGCGAAGGAGGGGTCGCCAATGGCATTCTGCAGCTTGAAGACCGCCATCTTCCGCACCGACTCCTCCTCCGCGCCGAGGCGCGCAACCAGTTCCGACACATTGACGCTATCCATGGCTCAAGCTTCTTCGCAGGGTGGGAGGATGTGGGGTAGGTGAGAATAATGTGGAGATGGTTCGTTCGCCCCAAGTCACGCAGGAAGGGCAGACATGGCACACGTGCCAGAGACCGAGGCGGCGGAGTTGGCGGGCGGGATGCTCGTCGCTGCTGTCGACGATGTTTCACCCTGTCCTGCGCCGTCGCGCGTTAGCTGAGTCGCGCGACCCTTTGCTTGGCGACACGCTTCACGTGCGCCGGCCCACATGCTGTTGGCTGCCTGGGCCGGCTAGTCAGGTACGTCGCCGAGCCGACAACATCCAAAGCGCCGTCCGGTCCGTCCTGAGCACCATCGCGACCCTCCAGCAGCGCTCCTTTCGGCCCATTCGCGACCCTTTGCCTTAGCGCGCCGTCCTCGATACCCTTCCTTTGTCCTGTTTTGCAAGCCGCTTTCTGTTCTGTGTTGACGCCGCCGCTGCACGTTCCAGCTCCTTCCGCCTTTGAGGCCGACAACAGCTTCTCCGCTTCACCCTCACCATCACCGCGAAGTCGCCGCCACTATGGTCTACATCACCTCTGACTTGTTCGGTCCCAATACACCGCACGAGCGCCAATACGACACCACCACCAGCTACTGGCACACCATGGCCCACGATCAACACGCCGCCGGCCTGGGCAAGAGAAAGAGAATGGTTGGCGACGACGGACCCCAACCGTATGCACCATCACCCTATCCAAAATGAAGCTCCGATTCTAACAGCTCTACAGCACGTCACGCCAGCACCGCTCGTCACCCAGTCGCGACTCCAACCGCCTCCATCTCCACAATACCCCGCCTTTCGAGAGCAACAACAACAACCTACCATACGCCCTCTTCCCCTCAAAGCCACACGAATACACATCAGAACGCCGGCCGGTCAAGCAACTCAAACGCCTGAGTCCGAAAGCGTCTCTCGTCAAGTCAACATCACACCTAATGGACGTTGATCTCGACGCTCCATCACCCTGCCAAACCCAATCACACGCCGTTTCCGACCTGCGATCCTGTCACGCATGCAACAAGGCACCCAAGCGACGGAAAGATCTGGAAAATTACCTCGATTGCACGAGATGCGAAGGCCGGACCTGTTTCATCTGTGCGAGGCAATGCGTAGGCTGCAGCAAGGCGACGTGCAAGAAGTGCATAGTAGAAGTCGGAGAAGAGGGGGACGCATGGTGTCTCGACTGTTATTCACGGAACCTCAACTCATGAGCGGTAGAAGAGAAGGTAGATTGTTTGTTTTGGTTCATTCTAGCAAAGCGGGCGTCCTTGTGTTACTAGCAGCTGCATTGAGCGAGACTCTATCGAGCATCATAATGAAGAGAAGATTCCATCATAAACCAGACCATGTGTCATTCGTGATTCTAGTCCCATTGTTAAACATACAAAGTATCCAATAACCGGTGACGTGTTCTAATCCTCATCGTCTGTATCCCGTTCCTCCACAACACTCTCCTGGTCACCCGTACGGAACCTCAAACGCGAACTTGTCATATCACCATCCTCGGCCTGACTAGTCCTAGTGCTCCGTCTCCTGCTCCTGCTGCTGACAATACCGGGGAACAGTCTAGGCTCCCCATCCAATGTAATAGTGCTTGTTGAGCGCGTCAGTCCCTGATCAGGCTCTTCGGGTTCTGTCGGCTGAACGACAGACATCGTGCTAGGGTTGACAGTCATGTTAGAGCTGGCACCGTCCTTCGTACCCGAAGGCGAAGCCGGTTGGCCTTGCAAACTACCCATGTCGGTTGTCGAGGCAGAGGGCTTGAGCCGAGCGACTTGGGCTGGAGGTAGCTTGGAGAACACTTGGTTGCCACCAGCAGATGCATGTGTGGGAGAAGTGGGATGTGTTCCTTGGAGAGACTTTGGCGTCTGTGGCACTTCCGACTGCAAGTTAGAGCTAGTGAGATCGTGACTACCAGCTTGCGCAGCGCGCGTGTAGCGGTCGATCCTATACAGTGTTAGTACTGCCATATGAATATGTGAATGTCTGTTTGAAACTTACATAGCTAATTCGCCCATGAGCGTCTCGTGTCGGAACGCCTCACGAATACTGGGCACGTTGGATCTCGCCATGTCGTTGCCTGCAACGCCAGGGAGATGGTAATTGCTACCCAACCACTTCTGCTTGACGACATGCTCAAAACCGCTCTGCTCGACAGAATGTTTGGCTAGCTCACACATATCCACAGCACTCAGTTTGTAGATCTGCGCTGCTACTGAGTATTCCTCGATAAGGGGCTCCTTCGTGAAAGCAAATTGTAGAGGGTCGTCTGTCGATAGCGAGACGTTGAGGCCACGTCTAAAGTAGCTCAGGAACGGGTTGCGTTCGTACGCCAGGAACAGTGCGTTGTTGCTGAGAGGTGACATAGCGACACCAATCTGTTCAAGGTAGAAGATGTACTGCAGAAGAGGCACCTTACGGAGCAAGAGACCGTGACTGATGCTGTGACAGCATAGTACTGCAGCAGCCAAATGATCGGTGTCACCAGCCTCTCCGCAGTGAGGACGCAGGAGGAACGTGTTGAAGCCGCGCTGCTTTCTCCATACGTTGAGTGACGAGATGTTGGCGAAAAGGTAGTACATCCAGTAGCTGTACGGCGGATTCTGCTTCGTAGCCCATTCATTCGGGAATGGGAACTTCCTGTACACGCGTCGCTCGACTTTACTCTCATCGTCGACGCTATCGAATCCAATGACCCTCTGCAGGAAAACGTGAAGCTTAGGATGACTGGACGGATCTTTGGTGACCTCGAACAATGGCTGAAATACGTTTACGATGACTTGCTGGAAGTTGTCCATGAGTCCGGTTGCTTTATAGACGTCGAACAGACGAGGTACTTGGATCAACCAGCGGACGTTGGGTGAGAACAGCTTGTTGTCAATGACCCAAGCCGCCAGCTTATCCCACTCTTCAATGTCTCTACCGTAGATGGAGATGCGCCATTCAACGAACTGGTACTTGCTCGCTTCAAGGTCAGAGATGACTTCCTTGGTAATTTCTGCTAGGTATCGGCCCTTGACAAAGTTGTCTGTCTTCAAGAAGATGGTTCGCAGGCGTGATTCACCAATTGGGTTATACTTCAAGTTGAACTTGTCGAATCGGTGGAACGAATCCGTATGAGCCTAAAATATTAGCGAAGTAACGTGGTGCCAGATGTTTGTACTCACATGCATATCTAAGGTATCAATACTTAGATCGTACGCTGTCAAATTAATCGACTCGAAGACCTCCCTTAATGTGAGATGTTTGCCATCACGGAACAGGACCACTTCATCTGGAGACTTCTTCATCTTGGACTTGATGAAGCGCAGCAAATGCTTCTGGTTCATACATGCTGAGTGATGAACGTGGGTGTCGACCTTTCGGACGTTGTAGAAATCTCTGTGCGGCACTTTCTTGGTATCGGCTGTCTCTTGGTATTCATTCAACAAGTAGTAAAGATTGAATTTGCCTTCGAGGTACTGAAGCCGACGGAAAGCAAAGCTCTTGCTCGGTCCATCGGAGGATATATCAAGGATGGAATCGAGATCGATGTAGAACTCGCGCAATGTAGGGATTGATACGATGGGCGTGTCCAGCTCAGCGGACTTGGCGGTCTCGTACACTTGGTAGACACCGCTGCTGTCCAGGCGGAACGACATCTCTCCGGGACCCGGTACGGGAAGACAGTCTTCTAGATGGAAGTCCTCGCCGATGTTTGTTCCCATCTTGCGAGGTGGCTTGGCTGGTTCATTAGGCTCAAGGATTCCGCTGTTCTGCAAGCTGCTGCCGCCTGCGTTGCGACGCTGTTTGGAAGAGTCGTTCCATACTGGTTCAGGAGGGGTAGGGTAGATGCGCCAAGCTGGATCATCTTTGGGATTATCGAAGTTGCGCTGCAAAGACAAGCGGATGTACTTGTGACGTAAATCTAGCACTTTCTGGATATTCGTATAGATGGAGCTAAGCTCAGTGGTGATACTGGAATCGTTCATTGCGAAGCCTCCTGCTCCTGTGCCAACACCAATGCCTGCGCCCGCACCGTGGATGCCTTCTTCAGCCAGAAGTGGCTTTTCTTCGTGAGGGAGACCGGGGTGTTGCGCGTGTGATCGGGCTTGTTGGTCGGCTTGGAGAAAGGCGTCGCCTTCGTTGCCGGTACCTGCAGTGTTGGCTCCGTGTTGAGTCATGTGCCTGCGCGGATCCTGTGACTGCTCTGTGTGTGACAACCCGATGGGCAGGTTGGACCGATGGCCTTGATTTGCGAGCGTGACATTGCTCTTCCTAGAGCGAATGCTTTCTGCCTTGCCATGAAAGTCCACACCGTCTGTGTTGCCAAAGTTGGCGGGGAATGTCTTTGCGCGCATGGCAGGGCTGTATGTCTCTCCCGCCTGTGAGCCTCCATATTGTGTCTCTAGCTGGTGACGCTGGTAGAACTGTTTGGCTTCTGTGTGGCTCATCTGCTTCTCCGCAGTATAATCGTAGAAGGCGGTTCGTCGCTGCTTGTCGCGGGGCAGCATGCCATTGTCGTCCTCTTCCTCGTCGCTGGTACCAGCATTCTCCTGTGCGGTTGCAGTCGCACCGTTGTCTAGTCGTGTGCGCCCGCTACCGCCAGCTTCAGTTTCGGAGAAGTCATGGCTCAGCTCTTCCTCTTCCGACGAGGGTATCTGGTCGTCGTGGGCAGGGCCAAAGTCGGGCGACGCGTCCGCATCAGCAGAAAAGGCTCCTATTCCTCAGATCAGTCTCCGCTTGTATTTGTATGGAGGAATTGGTTTGCGCTACCTTTCAGCATGGTGCTATGGAGAGATGGTAGTTGTGGTTGCTAGAGCGAACACAAACTTTAAGACGAGCCTCACCAGGAACGCGCCTCGGAGGCGGCCGGCCTGCCGCCTGACCCCGTGCCATTTTGTGAATTATGGATTCGATGACTCCATGGCATACTTATCCTGGATACCCTTCCAGCAGGAGTACGTAACCATAGCGAGCAAGACTTCGAGGCTACAAG